TTTTTTTTTTATAATTTTTTTTTTTTTATTTTGTTCATCATGCTGAAATACTACATATGCTTGTACTGCAGATTTCCCAAAAAGATACACTGGGGAGGGTGTTGGGATTTAGCAGGGTAAAGTTGAGAGATGGTCAAAGGGGACTTCATTTTGACCTATAAATTTTGTAACTATTTCAAGGAAAATTTATTTGTGTATTATTTATTCAATTAGAAAAAAATAGAAAAATTGTAAAAGTAAACTATAAAACCTCCCTTATATTACCCCATGAAAGCTCTGCTTAGGAGTTCATCTTTGATTTTTCACTTATAATTCTGCCCCCCAAGACACACACACCCGTAATAGGCAGCCCACTTTCCATCTAATTAACATATTTTCCTTCCATTGTACAAGCTGCCCTGGATTGCATAACCTGTTTCTGCTGGAGAAATATGTACATCTCTTCTTTTTTAGCAGCTGCCTCACCCTCTTTCATCTAAACCCTACATCTTATCATGTTCAGAACCATTTCGATTAATTTATTTAAGCCTCTTATCTCATTGTGAAAGCCTCTGCTTACCACATCTCTTTTTCTCAGTAGTACACACGCTGAGTTTAATACAGCCTGGGCACAGAGTGGCCTCTTAACCCTTTGCTGCCCCAAGCTCCCTTTTTGACAGCTGTCCATCCAGAATTCTCTGCCTGGCTGTCAGGACCCTTTGGAATAGCGTCATTTGACCTAGTACTTTCTTGCACCCAGAGGTGGACTCCTCCGCTCCTCTAGTGAATGATAAACTTCCTGTGAGTGAGGCCCGAGGCTTTAAACTGTTTATGTCTCTTTTGTCCAACAGTGCCCCTTGGTCATATTGGAAAGCCTCCTACTGCACGAGTGAAACTGGAGTTTTGATCTTGTATTAAAAAAAATTCATTTAGTCTGTACTTTTTGTCTCCGGTGAATAGAAGTTGCAACCAAGAAGCAATCTGTCATTTGTGAAACAAGTAAATGGTCTATTATTTTTCAAGGTTATCTCTAACCTCTGATAAAAATGTTTAAATGTTAAGGTTTCAGCTTTTTTTGGCCGTGTACTTAAACCTGTACTGAATTCTGCTCTGGGGCACCCTTTGGAGTTTTCCCTGTATGAATGTGACTGAAGACATCTTTAACTTCTCCATTGGCTGTAGTAGAATATATTGATTTTATAGTTTCTTTTCACTGACAACCAAATCATTTGTTGGAAATATATTATTGGAGAAATTTCAATATCTTATCAAGAGATTTTGTTTTGTTTTTTGGAATGCGGGGGATATTAGTTAGTAAAGACCATTGCCTGTGGAATTAAACCTGGGTTTGAATCTTGGATTTGTCATTTAGTAGTTGTGACTTTGGAATACTAATTTCACTTTTCTTTTTTTTTTTTTTTTTAAGATGGAGTCTCACTCTGTCGCCCAGGCTGGAGTGCAATGGAACGATCTCGGCTCACTGCAACCTCCGCTTCCCGGGTTCAAGCGGTTCTCCTGCCTCAGTCTCCTGAGTAGCTGGGACTACAGGACCGCGCCACCATGCCTGGCTAATTTTTGTATTTTTCAGTAGAAACGGGGTTTCACCATATTGGCCAGGCTGGTCTCGAACTCCTGACTTCGTGATCCACCCACCTCAGCCTCCCAAAGTGTTGGGATTACAGGTGTGAGCCCCCGCACCCGGCCCTTATTTCACTTTTCTAAGCCTCATTTTCTCATCTCTAAAATTAAGATAAAAAGAAAAAACTGCCCATATATGACTATCATAAGGATTGAATGAAAAAATGATATTAAGGACAGACCACAAAACAAAAATGAGGTATTCTCTTCCTGCTTTTACTATATGTACATATATCTGTGTGTGTGTGTGTGTGTGTGTGTGTATTCCTTTACCATCTCTATATTTCACTATGCAAACCATGGTGATCGATGTGATAAAGCAGTACCTGCAAGAAGTTCCTAGGAAGCTATAGTTACATATGTAACAAAGGAGGACTACACATAATTAGAATATCAAGGTACAAAACTGTCGACTGAAGATCATTGGTTGTCAGCCTGCTTTCAGCCAGGACACACCTGAGGAATGGTGATTCACAAGGACACACTCCCCTGTTAAGCCTGGTTTCTGGTGTGTCAACACCTGCCCTGTTATTCTTACTCACCAGGACTGAATGTGAGTAAGTGTAGTGTTAGGGTAGCAGTAGCTCTCAAATCAGTCTTTAAAAAGAAAATTACATTATTAGCAAATCTCATCACTTTCACTGCTAGTAGGCACAAATGATTTGACTGATGTTAAGAAACTGTCAGAAAAGGGCAATAAACTAAAATGTCTGCAAGGCCAGGCTGATAAATTAGTGAAGTGAACTGAATATGAGAACCCAAAGGAAGCCATTAGGAAGACCTTGGTGCACAAGAGCACATGTACACACACAAACACACACACACCCACACACCTCTAAACGTGCACATGCTCTTCAGCTCCAGCAAATCACAGGACCAGCAATGCCAGCTCCTCTAGCATCCCAAAAATAGCCAGAAATGTGGAATTTTATGTGAAATCTCTGGATTTTATTTAAAACATTTTAAAACAGTACAAGACAAGTCAAACATGTTCACCATTTACAAGACCTATGGGCTATTTATTAGTCTGTAACTAAACTTCTTCAGACCAAATGTCTTTGATTCCATACTCTTGTCAATAAAATCCCTGAGCATGCATTAGAATATAATTTATAAATTATAAGCATGTACTCAAAATCTATAAATTAAATATTAATAATGCCTTTTTTCTCTTAGGAAGAAACCAAACATAAATATTTTGATGCTTTTGCAGTTCATAAGCATGATGATTAGGTGTTCACATTCAAGTGTGGGATGTGCCATCTTCAAACCTTGCCACAATGTCAGCACTTTGCCCATCTGACATGAAAAGAAATCGTAGGTAAATAGTTCTCACATTTCCCTTCTACACTCTCCACTCTCATGGATCCCCGTGGGTGTGCAACGCTGTAGAGACCACCACTTGGACCCTGAAAGCTGTAGGGATTGGAAGACGGGGACCTAAAGAGGTAAAAGTTAGTTCATTTCTCCTGCTCTTCCACTCCTGACAAGTTCTCAATTCCTCTCCCAAAGCAGCCACTATAAAGAGTTGCTTTTTTTTTCCTTTCGCTGTGTATTTTTTGTTTTTATTAATTTATTCTAAAGAAACAGATTAGTAGTTACTGTGCACCAGACCCTGTTTTTGGCACTTGGGGACAAATATGACAAATAAGGCTGCCCACATAGGACTTTACATTCTGTTAGGGGAAACGGCTAATAAAAAACTAAATATTAAATAAGGCCAGGCATGGTGGTGCACATCTGTAATCCCAACATTTTGGGAGGCCATAGCGGGTGAATCACTTGAGCCCAGGAGTTTTACACCAGCCTGGGCATAAAAACAAGACCTCATCCTTACTTTAAAAAAAAAAAGGAAGGCCAGTAACAGCAACAATAGCAGTGATTCCCTTTCTTGTGTTTGTGTTCCTTTGCTCTGTGACTCTGAGTGTACTTTCTACTTTGGCTCTGACCTTGACCATGTGACTTGCTTTGACCAATGAAATATGACACAGTAGAGGCTTGAAGAGTCCTTGTGGTTTGGGCTTTTGGACCTCTGCTGTCATGTGATGAACTAGGCTCACCTTCTTGATGAGGAGAGAAGCATAGTCCAGTCATCCCATCACCGCAGCCAACACCGAGACACGTGTCAGGCATTTGACTGAGGCCATCTGGAACCAGTCAGCCCCAGCTAAACTGCCAGCTGACCACAGATGCATGAGTGAGCCTAGCTAAGATCAGCCAGAAGAACCGCCTAGCAAAATTATGAACTAAATAGATGGTTGTTTTAAGCCATTGCGTTTTGAGTTGGTTTGTTATGCAGCACAAAATAATTGATACAAGCTGCAGCATGAACCAGATACCATGCTGGGATCTCTCTTTACCATCATCCTAGGGCTGTCCTCTGCTTTTTTCTTGTATTGGATCTCATATTTCTAGTAATCCATATCTTCCTCTTGCTTGGTTTCCTTCAGTGACTTCCCAAGAAAGAGTACATGAGCAGTAAATTAATTGTATGAAACCTTGCATGTCTGAAAATGTCTTTTTTAAAAATTTTTTTCGATTCTTGTGTTTAAGTGCTAGTTTGGTTGGGAGTAGAATTCTAGGTCATTAACTATTTTCTCTTAACATTTTGAAAACCTTTCTCCATTGCTTTGTAGCCAATACTCCTGTTCACAAGTTAAAAGTCTATGCCAAAAGATGATGAGATCACCACTTAGTATCTGAAATAAAAGGACAAAGCTGAATTTACTCCTTGCTCCAGTGAGAGCGATGATGCTCAGAAACAGTCTTTCCACACAGAGCAGACTACTAGAGTTTTGAGGAAGCATGATGAGTTCAGGGAGTTCAGAGACTGCAGTAAGATGTTATCATTTGCAGAATCACAATTCCTTAGGGGAAACTTCGTTGATTGTTCACCACTCAAAGGTGTTTTTACAGGAGTGAGTTCATCTACCACTGGCTGTTTTTCAGAAACAAAGACCTGATCTGATGAGTTGGCTTGTAAATGTGTGTACATTGAGAGGAATTGTGTTGATTGATTACATGGGTTTAAAACTAGTTTTTGATAGCTACTTCTTATTATGACTACAGAACAATTGCCTTTCCCTAAGTTTTGGGGAACATTTTTATTCTCATAAATTGCTGATCCTGTGTATATGACCTGTATATTTTTCCCCTTTCTACAATCTTGCAGGATCTTCTCTTTGCCTTCAATGCTTGAAATTTCACAATGTGTGCATTAGCCTAAGACTGTATTCACTTAATACATTTTTCTGTCTGGAAATTCAGATTATTAACTTCTCTTCATTTTTTTTCTTTTGGGTGCTCTATTAGTCCATTTTCCTGCTGCTGATAAAGACGTACTCAAGACTGGGCAATTCATAAAAGACAGAGGTTTAATTGGACTTACGGTCCACATGGCTGAGGAGGCCTCACAATCATGGCTGAAGGTGAGGAGGAGCAAGTCACATCTTACATGGATGGCAACAGGCAAAAAAAAAAGAGCTTGTGCAGAGAAACTCCCATTTTTTAAAACCATCAGATCTCGTGAGATCCATTCACTATCACAAGAACAGCATGAGAAAGACCCATCCCCATGATTCAGCATCTCCCACTGGCTCCCTCCCACAACACATAGGAATTATGGGAGCTACAAGATGAGATTTGGGTGTAGACACAGAGCCAGACCATGTCAGACGCTAACACCCTTGACCAATTTCCTAATTGTCTTACGTTTGTATCTCCTATTTTCCATCCCCTTTTCTTTTTGCTGGAAAAACTCTCCACTTTATATTCTAACCTTTCTATTGAAAATATTAATTTCTAGTCGGGTGGATTGGCTCACATCTATTATCCCAGCACTTTGGGAGGCTGTGGCTGTAGGATCACTTGAGCTCACGAGTTTGACACCAACTAAGGCAACATAGTGAGACTCATTTCTACAAAACATAAAAAAAATTAGGCGGGCATAGTGGCATGTACTTGTAGTCCCAGCTACTCAGAGAGCTTAGGTGGGAGGATTGCTTAAATCCAGGAGGTCCAGGCTGCAGTGAGCTATGATCATGCCATTGCACTCCAGCCTGGGTAACTGAGAAGGATCCTGTCTCAAAAAAAGAAACAAAGAAAGAAAATAAAATATTCCTTTCCGCTATGTATTTAATTTTCAAGACCTTCTGTATGTGTTTTGTTCCATTTATTTATTTGCTTGTTTATTTTTGCATAGAATTCTTTTCTTGTTTTGTGGTTATAGTAGCTTCTCTTTGTGAGATGTTTGACTTTTATTTTATCTTTATTTCGTTGACATTACTTTTTTTTCTTTATTCATTTTCTATCTTCCGAGTTAAAGGCTTTCCTCACATATCTTATCATCTTTGTAACTGATAATATTTAAGGGTGAGATGCTGAAACACTGGCTGGAAGCCCTGAGAATATGAGAGCTGGGCTGGTCTGATGTGGGTTTCACTGTAAGAGCATCAGGGTGGGCTGGGTCTACTGAGGGAACTTCTGATGTCAATATCTTTCCAAGGTCAGGTCTTTCATAATGGACCAAGCATATTTCCCAGAAAAGACTCCATGTCCTGCCTGGAGGGTAAAGGTCTAACTTTCAGTGTTCTTGGCCCAGAGAAGGAAAAGATGGATATGGTATGGGTATCCCAGAAGCTAATATGCATAAATTCACTTAATCCTCTATTTTTAGTACAGTTCTCTCACACTCAACTGCACTGGTGTTCTTCTAGTGTAGAACCATCTATTTTGCTCCATTCTGAAAATAAGCTATCACTCTTTTGCCAGTTAAGGAAGGTGCAGTCTCTGGGATGCTACACAGATCTGGGGAGAAGGCTAGGGATCCAATCCAATTCCTCCTAAAGAATACTTCCAAACAATCCTCCTTATTTAGCCCATATCCCTTTTACCCTCACTTCTTCAGGGACCTGCTGCCATTAGTTTCCAAGGCTTCAGATATGCTATAAATCAGATTAGTTTTTAGTTTTCTCTTCTGCCTGATGGGATTTAAACTTCTCAAATCTGCTCATTCTATCACTATGTATTCATCTGTTTTCCAGCTTCCAAAATTGTCCCTTCTTCAGCTCTCGCCATCTATTGGGTTTAAGCCTTAAAATATCTATTTACTGGTAGTTTAACTGGGATTCCTGGAAGTCAACAACATAAAAGTGTATGTTAATCTCCTACCTTTACACAAAGCTTGCTTTTCATTTTCCATTTATGGGAAGTGTGTTAATGGCTTCATAATTGAATCTAGCTTATAATTTATTTGTGATACATCTAAAACTGGTTAATGAAAGATGGCTTCAATTATAGTAGGCTTAAAGCAATGTCTTTCTCCTTAAAAATATAGAAAAGAGAAAGCAATTCAGCACTAACCCAGTGAAGGGGGATACAGATAAGTCAAGATTTGTGTATGGGGGATGGGCACGGTGGATCATGCCTATAATCCTAGCACTTTGGGATGCCAACGTGGGTGGATCAACTGAGGTCAGGATTTCAAGACCAGCCTAGCCAACATGGTGAAACTCTGTCTCTACTAAAAATACAAAAATTAGCCGGGTATGGTGGCACATGCCTGTAATCCCAGCTACTCAGGAGACTGAGGCATGAGAATCACTTGAACCTGGGGGCGGAGGTGGCAGTGAGCCCAGATCACACCACTGTACTCCAGCCTGGGCGATAGAGCGAGACTCTGTCTCAGAAACAAAAACAAAAGTTAAACAAAAGATTTGTGTATGGGAATATTCTTTCCATGCATTTGTATGCCCTTGCTAAAATGCAGGTTGCATAACAGCCTTAATAAGAAAATCCCTAAGCCTGTGTAAACTTGTGGGAGGGGTGTAGTCACGCATAGTCTCACACTGAAATCTGCCAAGGCAGTGAATACTATAGAATTCACAACTTCAGTTTTCATTCTGCCCCACAACTCAGAGCTGGAAACATATGTGCTTATGAATCTTTGTCAAGTTAATCACTTTTTCCTTTTGCACCAAAAATTTACAACAGACTTCTTAACAACTGTCGCTAGCGTAATCTGTTTACTAATCATATGATAAATCACACTTGAGGTAAGTTACTGTTGTTCTGCAAGTTCCTGCTACTCTGTTAATTGCCGTCATTTTTTTCCAGAGTTGTGCTCTCCCGCAGCCTTTTGGGGATGGCTGGCTTCCATACCCAGAATCCATCACACCGCGACACTGAAAAAACAAAAATAAACAGGAAAGTAAGTAGAATCAGGTATTTCATCTCTTTGTGAAATGTCTTCTCATTCTCGGCCTGAAACCATTATTTACCTTCCCAACCTTAAGAAAATCTTTCCTGCATTCTGCCACTTCTTGAAAGTTACCTTTGATCTTCCGGCGGTCTTCTCTCACTTCCACTCTCTTTCAGCCCTGGCGGCATTTGTGAAGATGGCTCAGACCCTCTTTACTGACAGATAACTTATAAAACAACTTACACATCATGAGCCCCCGTAGACAAACTTCATTTCCCACCTCGAACAAACCCAAAGCTTTCCTCCTTTAACTATATCCTAATTGGTAATAACAAAAGCATATATTGAACAATGACTTACATATTGTGCTAAGAACTTTACATATATTAACTCTTTTCACCATCACAGTGACACTATGAAATACAATCTATTGTTATACCCATTTTTATAAATAAAAAAATAGAATCCAGAGAGTTTATGTAATCTGCTCAAGGAAAAACATTGGTCAGTGGCATGCCGTTTGGTAATTGGTACCACCAACCGTGAAGTCAGTTGTCCACACCAGAAACCTAATAATCAGGATTAATTGTTTTCTTTCCCTTTCTCTCCACATTCTTACCATCTCAGGCCAAGCTACCACCATGTCTCACTATTCTCCATATAAATGACATATGAATTTGATAAATCCATAATCATAATGAGAGATTTTTTAAAATCTCTCTTTTTTTTTTTTTTTTTTTTGAGATGGAGTTTCACTCTTGTTGCCCAGACTGGAGTGCAATGGTGCTATCTGGGCTGACTGCAACCTCTGCCTCCCAGGTTCAAGCGATTCTCCTGCCTCAGCCTCCTGAGTAGCTGGGATTACAGGCATGCGCCTCCACACCCGACTAATGTTGTATTTTTAGTAGAGACGGGGTTTCTCCATGTTGGTCAGGCTGGTCTCAAACTTCTGACCTCAGGTGATCTGCCCGCCTCGGACTCCCAAAGTGCTGGGATTATAGGCATGAGCCACTGAGCCCGGCTGGTAAGAACCTCTTTCAAAAACTGACTTCATGCAGACAAAATAGTCATATGACTCAAAAAGATTTATTTTTTATTGTGCAAATAACACAATTAATGATCCAAATCTTATGGAAATATGTGGAACACTACACACACACACACACACATACACACACACAAATAAAGAATACACAACAACACTTAGTACATTTACAAAAATTGGCTGGGCGTGGTGGCTCACACCTGTAATTCCAGCACTTTGGGAGGCCGAGGCAGGCGGACCACTTGAGGTCAGGCGTTTGAGACCAGCCTAGCCAACATGGTGAAACCTCACCTCGACTAAAAACAAAAAATTAGCCAGGAGTGGTGGCACATGCCTGTAGTCCCAGCTACTTAGGAGGCTGAGGCAGGAGAATAGCTTAACCGGGGAGGTGGAGGTTGCAGTGAGCCGAGATTGCACCATTGCATTCCAGCCTGGGTGACAGAGCAAGACTCCATCTCAAACAAAAAAAAAAATTTTTTTTTACAAAAATGGACTATGTCTTATGTCTTAAAGTGAGTCAACAAACACCACAGTCATTATTATATAAATCACATTCCCTGATCACAATATAATAGAGTTACAAATCAGGAACAAAAAGATAGTTAATCCCTCTGAGCATTAACTCTTCTTTACTCTTCTCTATAAAAAGGAACTAGCATTTTCCAGCTCCCATGGTCGCTGGCAACCTGGTAGGCTCTGCAATGGGAAGCACTGACTGCAACCTGGGGCAGCACAGGGGGAAAAGGCAAAATGTTCTCCACTTCCTGTGGATTGCTATGGGGGCACAGGGAGAGAATTCCTTACAGAGAAATTCATATCCCAGAAAGCAAGTTCTGGTTTTGAGCCTCCTCCTCGTTTTGCTGACTTCTTTCCACTTTGTTCGCCGATCTAACTTTTTTCCTTTCTTTCACCATTTCTGTATAATTCCTTGATTGATTGATTGATTGATTTTTTGAGATGGAGTTTCGCTCTTGTCGCCTAGGTTGGAGTTCAATGGCACGATCTCGGCTCACCGCAACCTCCACCTCCCGGGTTCAAGTGATGTTCCTGCCTCAGCCTCCCGAGTAGCTGGGATTACAGGCACGTGCCACCATGCCCGACTAATTTTTGTATTTCTAGCAGAGACAGGGTTTCACCATGTTGGCCAGTCTAGTCTCGAACTCCTGACCTCAGTTGATCTACCTGCCTCAGCCTCCCAAAGTGCTGGGATTACAGGCGTGAGCCACTCCCCCTGGCCCCAATTCCTTGATGTTTGAAGAATCTGTAGCTCTGTTAGGAGCCTCCACTTGTCCTACCATCACCCCTGGTCTGTATAATAATGACTGTGGTGTTTGTTGACTCACTTTGAGACATAAGACATAGTCAATTTTTGTAAACATTTTTTTTGAGATGGAGTCTTGCTCTGTCACCCAGGCTGGAATGCAGCGGTGCCATCTTGGCTCACTGCAACCTCCGCCTCCTTCATGTCGGCCTCATAAACTTTATGCCAACAGATAGACTCTAAAACATCTGTCTCTTGCCTAGACTTTTCTGTTGACCTTCTTTCCCATGTTTATAACTGCGTACAGGACATCTCCACTTTACATTTTCAGAATGCCAAATTTTACATGGATAAAACTAAATTTACCATCTGCCTCCCCACTCTCTAGAACATGTTTTTCCTAATGCAGCACTTGACCCCAGCACTTTCCTACAAACACCCATCCTGGAAATCTCAGATACCCTGGGGGTACTGACTGCATCTCTGTCATTAATGGCTTTTGTTCCAAGCCCAGAGCCTGACAGGTATGTAAAGATTTTTCAAATGATTGTTAGACTCCTTTCTCTTTCTCATTTCCAGTCCCTTTCTTATTTATTTATTTATTTATTGAGACGGAGTTTAGCTCTTGTTGCCCAGGCTGGAGTGCAGTGGAACAATCTCAGCTTACTGCAACCTCCGCCTTCCAGGTTCAAGTGATTCTCCTGTCTCAACCTCCTGAGGAGTTGGGATTACAGGCGCCCGCCGCTATGCCTGGCTAATTTTTGGTATTTTTAGCAATAACGGGGTTTCACCATGTTGGCCAAGCTGGTTTCAAACGCCTGACCTCAGGTGATCCGCCCACCTCGGCCTCCCAAAGTGCTGAGATTACAGGCATGAGCCACCGCTCCCGGCTTCTAATTTTTATACCTCTGTAATGCCCTCTCAAATCCCTTCTCCTCTTTCTATTTCATTGTGACTAGTCCTCTGGCTGCTCACCTGGAAAGGCAGTGGAGAGGGTTGTAACTCTGGGAGTTGAATTATAACTAATCTAATGACGGTGTTTAACAAAAGCCGTGTTAAAGGCAAAGTGCTTCTGTTTCAAAAATTCTCTCAAACCCAGTTTCCTCTTGGCAACAATCAGCAACCACAGCAACAATCAGCAACACAGAAGAAGACTTCTTTGACTAAATATGTGAGGAATTTCCTGACTCACGTAGCAGCAGACACCAGCTGGATGTCCTCCAGTTCAATTCTGACACCATCTACCTGGAGATAGCATCAGATTCTATTGGTTTGGGGCTTAGTCCCCAAAACTGCCCATTCCGCAGACACCCATTGCAAATCTGGGCCTCTGGAACTTCCGACCAACCAGCTTCAAGTTGGGGTTCCCACACCTTCTCTTTGTGTTGGGTTAATTTGCTAGAGCAGCTCACAGAACTCAGGAAAACACTTAAGTTTACTGGTTTGTTATAAAGGACTTTACAAAGGACACAGATGGAGAGATGCATAGGGTGAGGTATGGGGAAAGAGGCGTGGAACTCCCATCCCCTCCCTGGGTCGCCACTGTCCAGGAACCTCCGTGTGTTCAGCTATCTGGAAGCTCCCTGAATCCAGTCCTCTTGGGTTTTTATGGAAGCTCCATGATGCCAGCATTCCTTCCCCCGGCTTATAGGGCAGGACCATCTCCGGAGAGGATCTTAAGACCCATAGTCAGAAAGGTGGGGTAAGATTAGAGTCCTGTCTTGGGGAAGGTGAAAGAAGGGCAGGAAAAGATCAGAGAGATTCCGTTTTCTCAATCTGCTCCTGAGGCCTAACACACCCAACCTTATAATGAAAGATTGTAACGAGGGCTCTGGGAGATACGGTCCAGGAACTGTGGACAGAAATGTGTATATATGTGTGTGTGTATATATACACACACACACAAAATAACACCATAGCTTCCTAGCCAGCAAGAAGAGGAGGCCAACCTGACTGTAATGTCTTAATGCTGTTAACACAACTGAGAAAAAAATGTTTCAATCAGATGTGGCATTGGCAATTGGAAAACAACAGCAAAGGGTAAGGCCAGCGGGTCTGCTCAAGTTAGTTCAGGATGCCTCTCTGTAGTGATTATTTTGTTGGATTTAACTTCTCTAGAACCAATGGAACCAGTCTCTATATTTCTGGCAATCCCACACCGTTCCTTCAGTGATCCAGGCTCAAAATGTATAAATGACGGCTGATTCTTCTTCCCCTGTAGTCCTCATTGTCTACTTGACTGAACCTTTTTGATGCTTACTCATTTTTTTTCTCTTCCCTCCTCCCAGCCAACTGTAATTTCAGGTGCTTATTAAAACACACCCAGATTAATCCTCCAGTTAGACCTCTGTGCCTCTTCCTGACCCTCCCAAGAGTCCTGCCCTGCTATTACGTAATGACGTAAGACCCAAGAGCAAGTATAAGGATTCCCAGTGGTCTTTCCATCCTGGTATTTAAAACAGGCACCAACAGGCACGGTGCTCGCACCTGTAATCCCGGTACTTTGGGAGGCCAAGCCTGGAGAACTGCTTGAGTCCAGGAGTTCAAGACCAGCATGGGCAACATAGGGAGATCCCGTGTCTACAAAAAATTAAAAATTAATTTAAAAAAACCCAAAAAACTAGCCACTTGTAGTCCCAACTACTTAGGAGGCTGAGGTGGGAGGACTGTTTGAGCCTGGGAGGTCAAGGCTGCAGTGAAATGTGATTGCACACTGCACCCTGCCAGTTGACAGAGTGAGGCCCTGTCTTAAAAATAAATAAATTAATTAATTAAAACAAAACAGGCCTCACTTTCCTTAGGGAACCCTGGATCCTCTCCCTCCCCTGGACAGTTGGGTGAGTTCTCTGCTTTCCCCTAAACATGTTATGCTCACACTCAGCCCCCAGGGTTTGCACTCAGGGTGCCCAACTCACAGTCATACTGCAAAGTCCCATTTCCTCCTTGAGTCCTTTGCTGATATGCCCTGGTTTATATTAATTCCTTCCCTGGCTTTCTTTAGGCCCAAAGACATTTAGGCAAGGGCGGATAGGCCATATTGCTAAGGAGGCTTACCCTTGAGGGCCCCTTACTTGGACAGTCCCCTCCAAGACTGTGTACCTAATTTTTATTTATAATTTTGCATTATTTTCCTTAAGAAGATCATTTAAATTGTAAAAGCCCCAGGCCCCACACAATCTAGATCTGTCACTGAATTTAGACATTAATTTATATTCTGTTAAATGGGAATGATTATGGGGAAGGTTGCATTACGACTTTCAGGGCCTCAAGGCACTTTTGCCTTCATAGGCCCCTTTCTCCATGAAAATGATCACCAATTATATTTTGTGACTGTGTTGGTATAAAGACTAATGTAATTCATCAGGGGTTATTTCCTTTTTTTTTTCCTTTCTGATGCTAAAATGAACAAAAACATTTTTACAAGCCTCTAATAGTATCATGGACCCTAGACATAGTGCCTACTGAGCCTAATGGATAAGTACCTTGATTGTAGGGCACACAAAGAAGCCTGGTGAGTAATAAATGAGATGATGTGCATACAACATTCGACGAAGTGCTGGCGCATATTAGGTGTTCAGTGGATGTCAGATATTACTTTTGTTATTATTACATGCTTCTTTCATATAGAAATGCTTACTAAATTGGATTGAATAGAGCTTATTTTACACTAAACCATTTGTAGCAATGGGAGTTTGGAAACAGATATCACTTTCTTATACATTATAATGTAATGTCAATTAAAGCTTTTCTATTTCCCGACTTGGTACCTATCGTGTATTTACAAGCAGTTACTGCCTACGGACTAGGTGCTTAGATGTCTTGAATTTGAACAGAGCTCCTTAAACACTAGGTTCCCAAGCTCCACTCAAGAGATTCTGACTCAGTGGCTCTGGAGGGAGATCTGAAAATGAGTACTTAAAAAAAACCTTACTCCTATGGCGATTTTGAAGAGCAGCTCAATTTGTTGGAAACAACTATCACAGGCAAGCCAGTAGAGGTCAGTGACAGCTGAAAGAGTGGCATATGGGGTCATTAGCTTACCTCTTCCCAAACTCGGTAACACCCACCCTCTATCACTGCAAATAAAATGAAATGTCTGCTATGCAAGTGCAGTTTCAAGACAAATCCTGTAGGCACTGCCTTCCCAATCAGATTGTACCACTAGCCCCCCTAGTAAAGTAATTCTGGAGTAGTCTGCAGAAGAGATATAATTCATATTGTAGCTTTCAAAGAACTTCCGGGATAGATATCAACACAAAACCAAGACAGCATACTTTTAAGATTTTAAGGATCAGATGAGTACTGTGGACGCTGAGCACTCAGAAGAGGAAGCAATCACAATAGACTGAGTTGCTGGGAGAGCCTCAAAGTGAAGATTGACTTATGTTGAATCTGGAAAGAAGGTGGACCTGAGACATACTGAGACAGGAAAAAAAGAATAATGGACTGGGGGTCTGGGGATGCAGGAATGAAACTGGCTCTGCCACGCACTAGCTGGGTGTCTTTGAAAACGAAGATATGAAAAAATATAAACCTGTCAACATCTATTCCAAACAAAAGAAACCTGGTATAAAAATGCTAATATTTGCAAAAATATAATTTAAGATAAAAAAAGCATTATTAAGAATAAAGAGGGGGCCGGGTGTGGTGACTCACACCTGTAATCCCAGCACTTCGGGAGGCCGAGGCGGGCAGATCACAAGGTCAAGAGATCCAGACCATTCTGGCTAATATGGTGAAACCTTGTCTCTACTAAAAATACAAAA